GTAATGAAAAAGAAAGAAGGAAGGAAGGAAGGAAGGAAGGAAGGAAGGAAGGAAGGAAGGAGAAACTTCCAGCAGTGCACTATCAAACAATTTCCCATAACTGAACTAAAGAAACATCAATTAGAAGAGATGTAAACACAATTTTTGAAGAAAGGTGACAAATGTTTACAAAGACTATCACTTCCTTAGTTTATTCAAGCATTTCCCTTTCAGTAGTATTTATAAACAGACCATGTAACACTTTCAAACTTGAGCCTTTGAGCAGATATAAGCAAAACTGTGCAAAAAGTGTGCTGCTTATATACTGCCCCATAGCGCTTAAAGCACTATCTTGGCAGTTTGCAAGTTACGGTAATTATGCAGGCTACTCATTTTACTGACCTCGGAAGGATAGACGGCTGAGTCAACCTTGAGCCAGCTCCCTGAGATTAAGCCCCAGGTTGTGAGCATAGTTTCGGCTGCAGTACAGCAGTTTAAACACTGCACTAGCAATGTTATAAGCAATAGTCTTCAAAGGCAAGAATGTTGAGACTAAGATTATATTGCTATTTATTAAAGAACATTAGGAGAAAACATAAGCAGATTCTTTAACAGCAATGTTAAATGCCTATGTTTTGGAATTTACTTTACTTTATTTAGACTTATACCCCGCCCCTCTAGACAAAGTCTACTTGGGGCAGCTACACTAGCAATGTTATAAACAATAGTCTTCAAAGGCAAGAATGTTGAGACTAAGATTATATTGCTATTTATTAAAGAACATTAGGAGAAAACATAAGCAGATTCTTTAACAGCAATGTTAAATGCCTATGTTTTGGAATTTACTTTACTTTATTTAGACTTATACCCCGCCCCTCTAGACAAAGTCTACTTGGGGCAGCTTACAAAAAATGATAAAATACAATAGAATAATATACATACTAAAACTAATAATACAACACTAACTAGTGGATATATACATTATCAAGATGGGAAATTAAAGAAACGAAACAGTTAATTGACTGGAGGGAAGGTCTGCCTAAAGAGCCAAGTTTTTAAACGGCTTTTAAAAACACCCAGCAAGGGAGCCAGGCGGATTTCCGTTGGTAGAGTATTCCACAGCCAAGGGGCCACTGCCAAGAAGGCCCGGTTTCTTGTTCTTTCTTTCTGGGCCTCTCTTGGCGTAAGGCCCCTCAGCCGTCCCTGCTGGCTTTTTCCAGTGATTCAAGTAGATCTGGGTGGGAGAAGGCGATCTACCAATTGATCCTACCAAGCATCGTACTTAAAGACAACTTAATAAAGTAAACATGCATACTTTAGTAATTGTAATAGTGAAGTTAAATGGATGGTGAGTGTTTTCATTAGTGCCCACAATATTTACACAGACACACATAATAAATACTTAAAAGCAATAAGGAACTGTATAAACACAAATGAAGTGAGTAGATACCCCCCAGCTATTACCAAGTTTATTGGCTGAAGTGAAATGAAATATATTGATGGTATTGATTAAAAATTGTATAAATATAAGCTTATTCAGTAGGAACAGGAAGAGGGAGAAGGCAATATCTATAATCCTTAAAGGCAATTTTGACAGTATATGGGTTTGTGAACCATATTCTATTTCATTATATATTAAATGTTTTGTCAGATTTTTTTTTAAAAAACTTGGTTTTTGGCTCTTTTAGAATGTGGCGAAGATTCCTTTGATAAATTTCAGTATAGTGAGAATCTTCTACAGTGGGGTCTCTACTTAAGAACTTAATCCGTATTGGAAGGTGGTTCTCAAGTTGAAAAGTTCTTATGTTGAATCTGCATTTCCCATAGGAATGCACTGGAAACCATTTAATCCGCATCTGCTTTTTTCCATCCATAGAAACTACAGTGGAACCTCTACTTCAGAACTTAACCCGTTTTGGAATGGTGTTCTTAAGTTGAAACGTTCTTAAGTTGAAGCAAGATTTCCCATAGGAATGGACTGAAAACCAATTAATCCGTTCTGGCTGTTGTTGTTTTTTTGGTTATGTAGAGGCGTGTTCGTACATTGAAGCATTAGTTCCCATAGGAACTAATGCAAAGCTGGTTAATACGTACTCTACCACTAGGGAGAGAAATTTTTTTTAACCTAAGATGACCTAAGGTTAAAAAAAGAGCAGGAAAGGGTTTTTTTTCCTGTTCTTATCTTGGATTTCTGTTCTCAAGTAGAAGCAAAATTTAGCAAATGGAGCTGTTCTTAAGTTGGATTGTTCTTAAGTAGGGACATTCTTAAGTAGAGACCCCACTGTACTTTTTTTTATAATGGTTCTAAGTATGTATTCTCAAAGAAACAGAAAATATTTCAGCATGAGATTGTATTTTTCTGCTCAGAAATGAGCTAGAGTATTTATCCAAGGATATCCAGAATATATTTTTAAAAGATGCCAAAAAATTATTTGAAGTTCCACTCCAGAAAAACCTTTCCTTGGGGAAAGATTTGTCATATTTCTGCAGGATTATCCAAACTCTCAGAGTCTGCCCTTGAGCAGGACCTGGGGAAGAGGTGATTTGTGAAAAAAGAGCCAAACACTTCCTGATTCTAATTCGACTTCCAGGTCCTGAAAAGCAAGATGTGATGGGAAGGATAGGTTGTGAGCTCACCTGTTTCAGAGTGCAGGTGACCTCAGAAACTAGGCTTCTCAGCATCTCCTCTTGGAACTACCAGTCAAAGGAGAGGGAGGCGCTCAGTAGCCTGTGATTCTGGAGCTTTGTTTCTTTTTTCTTTTTCCGCCATCCAGGGGGTTGCAATAGGGGTGGCTGAGCATGGCTGTTAGAGCAGAGAAGGGGGAGGCACTACCTGGTTCTTTATGTCTTCCTAAGGAGGGATGAGCCTGAGCTGAAGGGTTACCTGCTTTTAGCTTGTCATTTCCAAAGAGGATCAACAAAGGCCAGATAATTCACCTAGATTGATAATAAAGTTATGGAATGCTACACATTTGTATTCTTTAGAAAAGTGTTAATTCAACACATTCTTTCCCTTATGTTAATAGATGATTTGGCATAATTCATTTAAAGTTGGATGTACAATGTCTTTTTGCCGAGAGAATGAGTATAATTTCTTATATGTCTGTCGTTTCTGCCCTGCGTAAGTATCACTTGTGAATACGTTGTTCTTAACCCTGTTCAAGAGCTTGATGTTTCCAACAATGTAAAGGCAGAGTTGGGACTTATGTGTTCATTCCATTGAATTAAATGTATCTATGCACAAGGAGTGCAGGACCCCTTATGCTGCCCAAGTTGGATCAATGGAGGAGTTCCTGTGAGTGGGTGGGGGGCTGGTATTACTTTCTTTGGAATTGCATCTCCAGCTCCTATGTGATGACTGTGACAGTTACAGTAATTGCATAACTGCATAAACAGAATGTCCGCTCTATAAGCATTATACACCAATCTCAGATGTAGTCAGTGAGAATATGGGTCACTATAAATGTGGCAATGCTCGCTATTGCTCAGAAACACTTTGAAAGTGTAATAATCAGAGACATGCGTCTCCCACACTCTTAGGCCCCTTCAGCACCCCCACACCTCCAACTTCATTTTTTTTTAAAAAAGGGTCATAATATCCCCTTGTGACTTCTGGGGAGTTTAGGGGGCAATTTTGTGATTATTATCAGGCATATCCTGGGGGTGTGAGCATTGCCACATTTATAGTGACCCGTATTCTCACTGAATGCATCTGAGACTGGTGTATGATGCTTATAGAGTAGACTAATACATCTTTCTGTTTTGAGAATATAGTCATATTTGATGCATTAAAACTGATGAGTTATATTGCTCAGAAGATGATGGGTAATGGAAAAACTTTTTTTTTTTTTTGGTTGGGGATTACTGTCTGAAAACAATCCTACAGCTAGGTGACCTTAATGCATGTAAAGGTAAACTAAGGTGTCCAAAAATGAATGTTTAAAAAAATGCAGATGCATGTAAATTTATTGCTCAAATTAAACTATTTATTAAATTAATTAATGTAAAGCTCACAGAGCTAACAAAATTACTTTTCCCTCCAAGTCTATGAAAAAATATCACGAGTAGATGCAATACCAATTAAAAAATATATTAGAATGAGGTAAAATGTATCCATTTCCAAGTGCAGCCATGATCAAATTAGCAATTCTGGGGGCAATACTATTACATGTGAGTACTCCATGAATCTGGAAAAAGAAATTATATTCAAGCCCAAATTTAGTAATGCTGATCAAACCCCCAGCTAAATTTTAAAAAAGAGATTAATCTAGCCTTTGCTTTAGTGTCAAATGTAGTTTTACCCGAAGTGGTCTAGGTCACTCTACATTATACCCCTATTAATGAAGAACTGCAATTTGAAAATCAATAATAGCATTGTTTTCTAATTCCAGTGGGAACTATGAAGATGAGATTCCAACACCCTACAAAGAAGGCCCACCATGTGGAGATTGCCCTAACAGCTGCGAGAATAACCTCTGTGGTAAGTTACTGGTTTTAAGATGTAAACTATTCTTATAATATCAATCCTCTTCTAAACAAGCTGTGGTATGCATAGTAAAACCCATGGCAGAGGTTAAGAAAAAAGCTAATCTGAACACCTGAGGACAGGATGAGACCAACCCTCACCCCCTCCTTCTCACTGTCCTCATGTGAAGAATGACAGTCTGATGGGCACAGTTTTACAGGTTCCTGAACTGCATCTTGTCTGAGATGGGGACGACTCACTATTTTGGCGAGTTGTCCTGCTTCGTGACCCATCAAAATTGACGAAGCATGAAGTTCTCCCCATGAACTGAAGAAGCACAAATTTATTCCTCTATCCACAGGGGGTAGACAGAAAAAACCTGCCCCCCACTGGCTGCCCTTTGCAATGATGGCGGCTGCAGCTTCATTTAGGGTAGAGTAGCTGCAGCATCCATCTTTGCAAAGAGCACCCCGGATTGAATCCAGGGTGCCCTTTGCAAAGATGGAGGCTGCAGTTTCCCTGTCCCAAATGAAGCTGCAGCCACCATTGTTGCAAAGGGCAGCCAGTGTCCCTTACCGCAGGCCGTGGCTGCGGAGGCCAGCTGGAGACCACAGCAGCAGCGCTCAATGGTGGCAGCGGCTAAGGTAGGGAGAGGAAGGGGGTGGAGGATAGGCTGTGGGGGAAAGTGGCTGTGGGGTGGGTGGCTACCTATTGGGCGGCCCCCAAGGCAGAATATGAAAGCCATAGGAAGAGAGGGAAGGCTAGCAATAAAAATGGGTAAATATTTGTCCGTATTTGTCGGGGTCTCTGGAACTGACAAATATGAAGGGACAAATATTTAACGAATCAGTAATTTCTCATGAATATCACAATCCATTTTTTTTATTTGTCCCCATGCTTAATCTTGGCCCTTTTGTGCATCCATCTACTTTGGGTGCTTTAAGACTGATGACTTGAGTGTTACCGTGTTGTTTCTATGCCTTTGTTAGGAGCAAAGATACTTGCCTCTGAGTCTTCAAACGACTGGGGATGACTTCACATGACTCAGTTTATAATCCATAACGATCTGTCCATGTTGGTGGACACATTATGGCTAGAGAAGATTGAGTTGAGAAGCATGAGAAGCAGTTTCTTTAACGTGCCCAAATGACATCATAATAGATCATTGTTTCAGCAGTACAGTATTAAGCTCCTGGATTTCTGTCTGTGATTTTAAATGCCGGTTGGGAGAAATGGACAGTTCTAAAAAGAGATGTAGGAATCAAGGTGGGCTGCAAGTCACAGTCAGTAGTGCTGAAAATTGAGCTGAAATTCTGTACATTTATTTCTGACTTCTGCTTAGGTGTGTGAGTGTGGGTGGTTGCACGAGTGATAAGGATTACCAGTAGCTCACTCGCAAGGCAGAGGGCTTCCCAGCCCAATCCTCCAACTACTGGAACATCGAATAAATAGATCAACAAATATTTTTTTAGGGGAAGGAAGGAGATCACACAGAAACAGAGCCTGTCCACATTTGTCCCACTGTTTGGTGCACTGATGGGTCAGGTTGTACCACTCTTTTTTCTGGTGTCAACACTTGGATGTCACTGGAGTGGACCAATTTGCCCCAACCTGCACATTTTTTGAACCCTATTCAGGAGGTTCTACTGTTTTAGTATGATTTGTAGGCAAGATTCCACCTAAGCTGGGCGTATGCACATGCATCTCTGCCTCCCTGCGCGCAGCTGTCTTTCCCCTCTGCTGAGCGGTCATGCCAGGTTCTGGTCATGATGGAATCCAGTGCGTGGGGGATGGAGTCACAGACGCAAGAGGCTGAGCCCCGCCCAGCGGGGCTAAACATTGGAGGATACGTTGGTTGTAGGGCTCCACTCTGTTCCCAGTGAGTCTGGTCACTTGGAATGGACTAAAATACAGCCTTGAAGCTCCTTCTGGTGTCAATTTTTGTATTCTGAAATGGCTTACAAGCTGCTTAAGGATATCGGAAATTGAACTCTTCCTCTGATCATCCACGGAGGGCCATGGGAAGTGATTTTTTTTTTTAAAAAAAAGGCTGCTAGAACATAACTGATAGGATGAATAACTTCATTTAAAGTTTCTTTTTAAAAAACTTGCCTGTCCATGTATTGCCAATTAAAACTGCAGGCAATTTCTCAATAGATAGGCAAAGAACATTTTAAAAAATTAAGTGATTCATTGCATCAGTGATGATATAGCCGATGATAAAAAAAAAAAATAACTTCCCCTGACTCTCCACAGATGATCGGGGAAATGCTTAATTGACAGTGAAAAGGGCTACAGATGGTCATTTGCTCTTCAGCTGGGAGGAATGTGCCAAATGGTATATTGCTCCTTCCAGCAACCTCAACTCATTCTTTGTAGCTTGATTCAGCCTGCACAAAAAAAAAAGAAAACCATCCTGTCTGGACAGGCCCACAGAGTGAGATGGAAGGACAATTTCCCCCAGCACTTGAAACCACCCGCTTTGTGGCAGGACAGATCAAAAACCTCTGTTTTAAGGGGTGAGGCTTACGACTGAGAGCTTTCCCCTTTCATCTGAAAAAGAGAAGTTCCAAATCATCTGAACAGTAACTGTTTTTAACCTCCAGTTTCTCCCAATAAATCAATCTTTTTCTCCATATGGTTAAAATGTGCCAGGGGAAGTCCATAAAAACATAGGATCAGTAAGGGTGGGGGAGGCTTGTTTCACAAAGAGGAAAAAGGGAGAAACAAATCTGAAAACAGCCCTCTGACTGCTACCATTTCCTTCCTAAGAGCTTAGCTGCTGGAGGAGGTTGCAATAGGGCTGGAGAGATTAAGTGCTTGTGTTAAACAATTACAAATGGGGGAAAACCAGAAGGAATGGGAAGAAATAGAATGGATGAGTCAGGAGCTGGAAGTCTCTGGCTGAAAGATTGACTAGAGAGTGCCTCTTCCATCATACTCCTGGCCTTACATAGAGTGAAAAATGAAAATTTGTTGTCATGCTCAAGCTGGTCAGGAGAGGGAGAGACACGAAGACAAACTCTCCCTTTGCACCTGCAGTCTATGCTTGCACTTTTATATGCTCAAACAAATAGAATAGGGGTATGACTGCATGTTTTCACTGTCTCTTATATTATCTTCGTCCCTCTAGTCAGTACTTCCAAACTTTAGGTCCCTAGATGTTCTTGGACTACAACTCCCAGCAATCCTGGCCAGCACAGCTAATGGTGAAGGATTCTGGGAGTTTCAGTTCAAGAACACAGAATCATAGAACAATCAAGCTGGAAAGGCCATCAAGTCCAACCTCCATCTGGGGAATGAAGGTCAGGAACCCTTGCACCAGAGCCTTTGCCTCAACCCACAGGCATTAGGCTTGAAAATGAGTGAACTGGAAATGACAATGATATCAATTTCCACAGCTCTTTGGGAAGTATCTGTTTTAATCAACACATTAATCAGTCTCTTCTTCACTTCTACTGGCATTTCCTATTAAAGCAGGAGTGGGCAATCACCAGGCCCGGGGACTAATGTTTTGTTCCTGGTACCCTCCTGGGGCCAATACAAGCTGCCAAAATGGCAGAAAACACATTAAAAGATGAAATTGGTATTATTAGAAATCTGTTTTGTAGCATAATCTTCTCAAGCTAACAGAGTCCTAATTTACTAAGAGGATCTTATAAAGTAATTAGAAGTATGGTTGTTATGTGTCATCAAGTCACTTCTTAGGGTGACCCCATGAATGAGTGACCTCCAACATGTCCTGTCCTGAACAGCCCTGCTCGGCTCTTGTAAACCCAAGCCTGTGGCTTGCTTCGTGGAGTCAGTCCATCTTTTATTTGTTCTTCCTCTTTTCCTGATGCCTTCAACTCTTCCCAGCATTAAATTAGGATTGTTAACAGGTTCAAGGTAATCTACAAACCAGTCATAAATGACAAGCTTCCAGCCCTCTGGAACAGAAAGCTTCAGAATGATGTGAACAAAGTTTTGAATCATTAGGGTGAATCAGGTTGTTTGTAGCAAGGTCTTATAATGCAATGTGAAGACTAGAGCAGGGAGTTATGATGATTTATTTTTTAAAAAATGTGGCTTTCTTCTTTTTCCATCTAACTTTGTTTTCTTTTCATTCTTTTCAGTCCACACATGTGACTATGTGGATTCTTCAGCATATTGTGAAACAATGTTGACGATGTACACCTGTGAGTCACAATTTCTCCAAGAAATGTGTGCAGCCACCTGTAAATGCCCACGAGGATCTACCTAATATATCCTGTATGAGCAAAATGAGAAAGAAATCCATATATCTGTATTGAAGAGAGGGGAAGTTTTGCATTAAAAACAAACTTCTCTCTCTAAATTAGGTCAAAATTTGACTTTAGAAGTTATTAGAAGCATAAGAAAGAGAATGTTTCCAAAAGTTATTCATAGGATGAATAAATTTATCCACTCCAATGTCCACTTGTGTCTTTTGTTTGTTTGTTTTATTGTACTGCTTTATAAAGTGTTTTGGATCTATAATTTGGTTTGATTTTACTTCTAGGCAAATCAGTAGCAGAAATATATTTCTTACTATACATTATTCTGAGTTATAGTCTGTGGTTCCAGGGAAGGCACTGTGTGGAACAATCTTTTCTGTACGCAATTCCTACCTGGCTGCTATTTATGTAAGGAGAGAATGTCTGCTCCTGGCTGAAGTTGGATTTACAATTGGATGTGTCAAGTGGGAGTCAGAGTATGGACTGACTCATTTAACATGAAGATGGACTGATTAATGGTTTGACTGTTTTAGGAATTGGGAGTATAGGAAAGGGGGGAAAAAGCCGGACTTGGAGGATGTGGCGTGAATGGGAGAGACGACAGAAGCAGAGACGGGCCTGCTGGATTATAAGAAGCAGTAGTGAAATATCTGAATTTCTTAAAAGCTGAATTCTTTTACTTCTCAGCGGAAACTGTTCTACAATAAATCTATATTCAAGAAGCAGAAAAGACAGCCCTTAGTCAATGTACAAGGTCCCTCAAAACTTACAATGAAAGATTCTTTTAAGAACTGTATACAGGAGTTTCAAATGAACATTATTAATCAACTCAATAATTATATTAAAACCCAGACCCTTGAAAATAAGGAGGTAATTTCAGGACATAAAGAGGATGTGGAAAGAAATCTGCAGATGGAAGACCATTTCACCAGAGCAGCAGAAGGAGCAGAAAAAGAGACTTTAGAACCAAGATCGAAGGAAGATAAAATAATAAGCTTTTATGAGAGGAAGGTCCAGGTGGATGAGTCGGGGATTTACACTAATGAGAAGATTACTCAAAAATGTATATTGGTTTTTACAGATGAGAATTTAGAGAAGGAAAATGTGAAGGCAGTGATGATGGAAGGGGTACAAAATCTTGGCTATAACTCAAATATATATGACTGGATTCAAATATGGAATGATAATTATAGATGGATTAAATCAGTGAATTTGACAGAAAATGTTTTAAAGATGTTCTATAGATGGCATTTCAAAACTGGTAAAAAGGGTGTTAGACATTGATTCAGGTTAAAATATTGTCAGCAATTTTGTACTCTCTTTTGTATCGGTGGTGGATAAGTGACAGAGTAAAACAATTTTGGAGATACAATGTTTTCCTGAAAATAAGACAGGGTCTTATGTTAATTTTTCCTCCAAAATGCGTTAGGGCTTATTTTTAGGGGGTGCTTAATTTTTTTCCTCTACAACAGTCTTTGTTTCATTTAGTCGTTTAGTCGTGTCCGACTCTTCGTGACCCCATGCACCAGAGCACGCCAGGCCTTCCTATCCTCCACTGCCTCCCGGAGTTGTGTCAAATTCATTCTGGTCCTTCCAGTGAGCACTCAGGGTTGATTTCCTTTAGCATTGATAGCTTTGTTTTCCTTGCAGTCCAAGGGACTCTCAAGAGCCTCCTCCAACACTACAATTCAAAAGCATCAATTCTTCTGAGGTCAGCTTTCTTTATGGTCCAGCTCTCACTTCCATACATCACTACAGGAAAAACCATAGCTTTGACTATGCGGACTTTCGTTGGCAAGGTGATGTCTCTGCTTTTTAGGATGCTGTCAAGGTTTGTCATCGCCTTCCTCCCCAGAAGCAAGCGTCTTTTAATTTCGTGGCTGCTGTCTCCATCTGCAGTGATCATGGAGCCCAAGAAAGTAAAATTTGTCACTGCCTCCATGTCTTCCCCTTCTATTTCGCAGGATGTGATGGGACCAGTGGCCATGATCTTAGTTTTTCTGATGTTGAGCTTCAGACCGTTTTTTGCACTCTCCTCTTTCACCCTCATTACAAGGTTCCTTAATTCCTCCTCACTTTCTGCCATCAGAGTGGTATCATCTGCATATCGGAGGCTGTTGATATTTCTTCCGGCAATCTTGATTCTGGATTGGGATTCCTCCAGTCCAGCCTTTCACAGGATGTATTCTGCATATAAGTTGAATAAGCAGGGGGACAATATACAGCCTTGTCATACTCCTTTCCCAATTTTGAACCAATCAGTTGTTCCATATCCAGTTCTAACTGTTGCTTCCTGTCTCATGTATAGGTTTCTCAGGAGACAGATAAGGTGGTGAGGCATTCCCATTTCTTTAAGGACTTGCCATAGTTTGTTGTGGTCCACACAGACAAAGGCTTTTGCATGGTCAATGAAGCAGAAGTAGATATTTTTCTGGAACTCTCTGGCTTTCTCTATAGCCCAGCACATGTTAGCAATTTGGTCTCTAGTTCCTCTGCCCCTTCGGAATCCAGCTTGTACCTCTGGGAGTTCTCGGTCCACATACTGTTGAAGCCTACCTTGGAGGATTTTGAGCATAACCCTACAACAGTCCACATTTACTCAAATGCAGTCATGTCATCTTCTTCTGATTGCTGTGCAATGGTGGAGGTTTCACTTCACTATATCTGGGGTTTCACTTAACTGGGGCTTATTTTGGGGGGTAGGGCTTATATTATGAGCTTATATAGGGCTTATTTTTTGGTTAGGTCTTATTTTCAGGAAACAGGGTAGTTTAAAAAAGATACTATATAAGAAAACCTATAGGTATACATAACTTTTAAACTAGAAATGCTAAACATATGTGGCTATAAATATTTAGAGTTATAAGGTGGTTCTGGGGTTAAATGGGATAGTTTGTTAGATATATTATCTGAGAATTTGAGAAGTTATGTTAAAGAAAACTGAAAAATGTTTTTGATCAAGCCCAGAAATAAATATGAGTGGAGAATATAGCATAAGTTAAAGATTTTAGTACTGTGATATAGTTATGTAGTTAAGATGACATATTAGATATTGTATTATCGTAAACACTTCAAACTAGAAATGGTCTTTCTGAATTTAATATTAGGGAACGTGGTAATTCCTTGCCGAAACAGGAAGCCCTATTCAAATTGACGGGGCATTCTGCAGTTGGCATAACTATAAACTAGTGACCAGCATGGTTAAGGAACACTTTGACCACCCAGCTCAGAATAAAGAGGTAGGACACAGAGTTAAATCGGGACCACAACTTTATTAAACTATTTAACTTTCAATTCCCCTTTCACAAGGGGGGCTACTGTAGTGCGAAACTTATCTGAATCCGGTGTACATTTCTCCAGGCCAGACCACCCAGGGTGAGTTCCTGAGACCAAGGCGTGCTATTATCTGAACAGCAAATCTTCTGCCACCCAACTATAGGAATACCCCTGAAGCCTCAGCCCGCCCAAGCCTCTTGACTCTAGGTGCATTGCGGCCTGGGAGAATCCCTTCAATCCCACCTCCCCTTACATAAATTTATGGCTCTAAGTTCTGGGAGGTGGAACATTCCCGCTTTCCTCTCTAACCTTTGCACTACCCGCCACAGCATAGGGGTCCTCATACACCCCATGCATACCACCAGAACATAACATTTCAGCCCTTAGGCCCCCTTGCAAATCCCACAAAGCTACACTGATGTCCCAGTTTGACAAATACACTCCATTTGATCTGAATAACTTGGGCTGATATCCTGACATTACTTGTATGTTTCACCATTGACCCCAGGCCAGCCTTTATGGCTTTGCCCTCATTCACTCTGAGCCTTGCACAGTCAATACAGCTGGGCTTGCATTCAGCCCGCCATATCCTCCTGGGTCTTATATTTGACCAAATAATCTGTGTTCTTGGGAACATGGCTGCAATGGCCTGCAAATTATTAATCACCTGTATAATTAGTGCCTTGCCCGACTTCAGAGTCAAGTCATTTCCTCCCAGGTGAACAACCATAATATCAGGAGGCACATCCTAAGTATCCTGGGTTGCCAGTTCACTGAACCTGTCAGCATGCCTGTCTGTCCCCTCATGGCATGAGCACGCAGGCCCAAATTGCGACCCCAGTCCTGGAGGCAAATTTGGTTGCCCAAAATATGAAACTACATCCAGCCAGTAGAACTCTCATCTGAGTCAACAGAAACTCCGAGCCTACAAGATGAGAAACAAAATGGCAGCCGCTACTGCGGAAGAGAGTGAACATGAGTAGGAAACCTTTGGGAAGACCACCTTCCCACGTTCTTGATTTGCTTCTCACTATATCCCAACGCTGCCGCTGTGAATGCAGCACTGATATGAAAAGACTGGGTGCCAAATTACCGACCCGCAATGCCTACTGCTTGTAATGCCCATGAGGTAACAGTCCAAAACTGATACTTTGTCAACAGAGACCCATCCTTCTGATGAAATAATGCCCCAAAGGCTGCTCCCTGTGCTCCAAGAGGCTTGGATAGCCTGTACCAGGCACAGGTCTACCTCTGAACACCGTCCCAAGGATATAATCTGTCTCTTACCCAATTGATCAGTGTTGGACCTCTGCGGATGGATAATGACTTGGTCTTTGGAGATTCACCGACAAAGCTGTTCTAGACACATCTGCCCTGGATGCACTAACCAGCTCATTCACTCAAAATGCACCAAAAAACACAAGTAGTGTCACTGCTCTAAACAACAAGACCTCATAAAGATCCTTGCAAACCTCTTCTCATTTCTTACTTAACTGTCATGAGTTCAGCCGAAGAAGATCTAGAATCTGAGGGGTTAATTACAGCTGAGGAAAATGCTGGGCAATCAGAATCGCAGACAGCTGAATCACCACCAGATTCTCCTCCCCAGTAGCCAGAGTGAGGGATAAACTTCGACAAGGACTCATGACACAAAGGTCAGAGGTTCGCATGAATGCTTCCCATAGGAACATCACGTCGACAAGCCCTGAGTTTTAGCAGGATGAAGAGTTTAGATGACTGCTGTTGCTATAAAATCTGCACCCAAAGGCTTGGAAGTTTGTAGAAGCAACAAGTCAACACTCTGGCTTGCATCCACACTCCTGCTTATCTTGGACCTTGTTCTCTGGACCCTTGGCTCTTGGACTCTGACTTCTGACTACGGTTTGTGTTTTGGCTTTGGCATTTTGGT